GTAAACGCGTGCTCTCTTTCCCGCGGTCATACCAGTAGTAAACATAGTATTAACAGTTTATTAATACTAATAAATATAATATAAATATATTTAAGTAAATATTAATTTATATATTTGCTTTAATAGACGTATTCTTAGTGAAAAGAAAACGTATGCAATCACTGCACACCTTTTCGATTGGATGGTCTATGTATGTCTCTGTCTTGCTACCTCTGCTTGAGAATACAAGACTTAGGGTTTATTTAATTAATATATATTAATACTACTAAATTAATCAGCGTAAATTAGATTTTATATTTAGTTTTTCTTGTTATTACACTCAGCAATTAACAGATAACTTGAGACCCATACAAGGGCGCGCACAAGAAATCGATGAGGATGGAGATTGGATTGGCGTTCTTAAGAAACGGGAGAAAACCTGCAAATATGAAGGAATGTTTTCATGCATTTGAATATTTAATTAAATGTATGAGTTAAATTTAAATTTAAGAAGGGAGAAAATAAACAGGACAGGGTTAATTCGTGTGTGAAGCAAACAGCTCTCCGCTTGCTGCGGAGTTGCTGCGCACCACCTTGTGCCGCTTTGCTTCGAGCCCTTTGAAGAAATGTTTTTGTTTATTTTTCTCTACGAATAATTGATTATTTAATTGTTTTTATTCTTTTTTCCCCTGCCTATCCTTCACCAAAGAAGAACAACACACCGTACGTTAAAGTCTAAGGGGGTTCATTGCTGGCGGGTGTGTTGGTTGTGTGCGTATGTATCGACCCGTGTGTTTCAAGGGTAAACACGATTTTCTGTGCATAGTAGGGGTATTTTGAATAAATGAAAGGCTTTATTCATCTTTTTAATTCATGAATATCTCTTGAAAGATGCAATTAGATTGCTGATCGCGCGCATCGGTCTGTCGCGGTCTTCGTGCAGTTTCGGAGAGGAGGTGGTGAAGCGTACTCAGATAGTGCCTCTTTTTGTCTTTATTTTGTGCAATAGTTCATTCGTTTTATTATTGTTTGTTTCCTTTTTGTTGTTTCCTGTTGTTTATGTACGTCCGCTTGTTCTGGTTGCTGGGTTGCGCGCAGGCTTCGTTGAAAGTATACACTCGCCTCTTGTAAGCATCAAGCAGTATTTTCTCTGTTATTCTGACTGCAAAGATGGCAGTGTCTGCAGGTTCAGAGCCAACATGGAGGCTTCTGTACGGCGAAGAGCCGGTCTGGGTGAATCCTGCTACCCGCGTGTACATAAACCATATACCGAGCTGCTTCTCTGAGGTGAGCAGGCTCAGCAGTCAGACGCTCTGCGTGTCTTACTTAACCGGAAGCCTATGCGTGAACATGTGGCAGTGGATATCAGCTGGGAGGTGTTGCTGCTGGGGTGTCTGGTGTTGCTTCATTGGGGTCTATCTGTGTCTATCTGTGCCTGGTTTGCTGCTGCTGCATGCGCGCTACAGGCGCAGCTGAAGCAGCGGCTGCAGGGGACGTACGGCCCTGTGGATATTGAAGTGTACGTACGTGGAGGATATAATGACGGATATGCATGGGTGGCGTTTAAACAGGAGGAGGCTGTGCGGAAAGCGGTTGCTCTCAGTGAAGAGTTCAAGGCAGGCAAGCCTGAAGCAGCAGCACCGGCAGAACCACCAGCAGAGGAATCCGAAGAAGCAGCAGCAGCAGAGCCAGCAGCAGCAGAGACAGAAGGAGAGCCAGCAGCAGCAGCAGCGCCAGAAGAAGCAGCAGCAGAACCTGGAACAGCAGCAACACCGGGTGTTCAGGACAAGCCAAGCAAACCCCAGCAGCAGCAGACTGCTCCGCAACAACAGCCTCGAGGTACAGCCTCGCCAGCAGTGGGCAGCAGCAACAGCAGCAAAAATGAGAAGAAAGGGAAGCCAGAATTGCCTATAGGAAAAACAGGCCCCAAACTACCGGAGGTAACGCAGGGGAAGCAGCGCGGTGGAGGGGAGAGCAGCATCAGCAAGAAGCAGGATGGGGGGAAAGTGGATAGTTGAAAGAACAAAGGAGATTCAAACGGAGAGGCAGCTGCAGGGCGGTGTGCGGAAGACAACAACAGCCTGCGGTGTCTGCTCACCTGCCTGGGTTTGGGGCCAGGGATTCTCTGGTATATGCATGCATGCATGCATGCATGCATGCACACCTGCTAATATGTGTCTACACCTGGGGCTTTCCCGGGTGCATGCATTGAATGCGAGTTTGCACAGCTATAAAGTTCTTCTGCAGGGGCAGAAGAGCAGCAAAACAGAATCTGGGGAGAACTCATTTCTTCGCGCCTTTGCTGCGGTGTCTACACACCTTTTGGCGCTGCTTTTTCTTCTATGGCTTCGCGCTAATCGGACACTCGAGTGAACAAATAAAGTTTAATTACATGCATGCATGCATGCAGTGTACAGACAACCAGACAGTAGTAGGGGCAGCGAGTCAGCCAGTGCAGCAGAAGCAGAAGACAACAAAATTAAAAGCGAGGACAGGGGGCTGGAGGCAAACAGTGGGCTTGCCAGGTAGCTAGCTAGTGAAGCAGCCACACCAGGTAGTTAGCTAGCTAGCTAGCTATCTGGCTATACCTATAGCTACAGCTAGCCAGCCAGCGAACTTATAATAAGAAGTAGCTGGCGAGGTGGTCCCTTGTGCGTGTGATGCTAGAGCGAGTTGTTAATGCTCCTACAGCAACTGCTGATTCAAAAAATGCACAGGAGGTAAGAGCCGGTGCTTGTGCTGCTGCTGCTGCTGCGGCTGCCGGTGCTGCTACTGCAGGTGCTTCTGCTGCAACTGTGGAGAGGGAAGGTGGGGAGTTGGCAGCCATCGAGTGGCTATCCTCCGCTTGATGCAGTGTCTTTATTAGGATTATCCCTTATGTCTTGTCTGCGTGCTGCATTCATTCTTCGTTTTGCTGAGGAGAGCTGCAGATGACTGCTAAACACCTCTAAGGGAAGTGCAGTAAAGAGTCGAAGAGGGGAGAGGGCCGCTCCAAGCACCGTTTGCTGCTTGCTGCAGCGCAGCAGCAGCCAGCGGAGAGAAGCAGCAAGCAGATGCGAAGAAAGGAGAATTCGCGGCGTCTGCTGCAGCCACCAGCTGTCTGTACACCGTGCGGCTGCAGCACAGAGGGCACGCAGCAGAAGTCGTAGTAGCAGCAGCAGCAGCACTACTAGCCTCCTCGCTCCCCTTCACTCGTTGGGGTTTGCTCGGAGCAGGGATGCATGCGCAGCAGCAGCCAAACACCAACTCTTCCAGCGCTGCGGTGTCTGTACACTCCAGCAGCAGCCACAATCCCTCCCGCAGTTCCCGCTGCAGCTGCCGTTGCTTCCAGATCATGCGCCCTAAGAAGAGGCTCTCTTTAACAGACAACGACTCCCTCGCCTCTGCAGGCTGCACCTCAGCAGCAGCAGCAGCAGCAGCAGCAGCACCAGCACCAGCATCGGCAGCAGCAGCAGCAGAGGTAGGGCAATGCACGCTGCTCTCCTGTGGGTGTTCTCGGGTGTACAGGCCGCTCAACGCAGTGTCGTCTGAGCGTCTCCCTAGCCATCGCTCTGCCCTTAACTTCGCAAAGCCTTCACAGGGGCCCCCGAGGCGCACTATGCTGCTGCTGCTGCTGCTACGGCGGTTGCTGTTGCTGCTGTTACTGCCGTTGCTGCTGTTGCTGCTGGGACGACTGAAGCCACCCGTTTGCTGCAGCTGTTGCAGCAAACTTAAAAGTTGGTGAAGCAGAGCTTTCTGTTCCTGAAGCTTTCCTGCTGCAGCGGCTGTATTCTCATTTTCCCTCTTGAGGCCGTTTTCAAGCCATAGAGCAAGCCGCTGCTGCTGCTGCTGCTGCTGCTGCTGCTGCCTTCTCGTCGTGTCCCCATCTCTTCGATTTTTGCTTCCAAAAAAAGGGGAGGAAATAAATTTATTCAGAGGATTGGCGTCTGCTGTCTCGGCAGGTAAAACGCGCAACACGAAACTGCTGCTGCTGCTACTGTAGGTGCTGCTGTTGCTGCTGCTGCTGTGGCTAACGGCATCATGAGGGCCGCTACTGGTGCTAATAATAATGCCGCTGCTGCTGATACTGCTGCTGTTGCTGCTGCTGCTGCTGATGCTGTGGGGAGCGACAGGCAATGTCTGTACAGCTCGCTGGGCCAAGGCTGTGACAAGTGCTTGATGCAGCAGCAGCCGCTGCTGCTGCAGAAACCGTCTCTGTCTCTTCCAAGATGCTTGTGTTGTTGCTGCTACTGCCTGTGCCTCCCGCAACAGCAGCAGCAGCTCGGGTTCCTCTTGAAGCAAACTTAGCCATTCACTCTTTTTCTTAACTTCCGTGCTGCACCTCTGCTCATCGAGCTGCTGCACCTCTTCCTGCTGCTCTTGCTGCTGCTGCTGCTGCTGGTGCTGCTTCAGTTTTTCTGGATCCTGGTGCTGCTGTTCCCGGCAGGCCGCAAGTAAATGTAGGGGAGAAGGCAGTCTTTCAATAGAGCGCTGCAGCAGCCTGGCGCGCCTGTTGCCGCTGTTGTTACTGCTGCAGCTGCTGTTGCTGCTCCTGGTGCTGCAGCTGCGGTTCAGCATAAGACCCTCAACGGTGTTGGGAGTGACGGACGTCAGCAGCACAACAGACTCGCGGACAAATGCATCTGCTAGAAAGGGGTGGGCTACCAGCAGCAACCCAGGACGGAGGCCGCTGTGGCTGCTGCTGCAGTTGCTGCTGCTGCTGTTGCTGCTGCTGCTGCTGCTGCCGTTCTTGCTCGTTCTTGAAGCACAGAGGGAATCTTCTGTGAGGTGCTCCACAGGAACAGGTCTAAAGGCTCGCGCAAGTCCCCTGAGCTGCCTCTGCTGCTGCTGCTGCTGTTGCTGCTGCTGCTGTTGCTGTTTCTGCAGCGTTTGTACGTGTGCCGGGAGCAGCTTGTAGGCCGCTTGGTGGAGCTTCCCTCGGGATGGCAGCGGGGAGCTGCTGAGGCGGCTGTGAGATTTTCTTTTATCTGTTTGTAAGTCAATAAAATATCGGAGACTGCTGACGCTCTGCTGCAGCAGCATCTTCCTCTCATCCTGCAAAGCAGCCACCAGTTCACCCCCCATCTTCAGCACTTGCTGCAGCTCACAGCCCCCAGTAGCAGGAAAAGAAGCACCCGAAACAGAAACAGCAGGACTGCCCAAAGCAGCAGCAGCAGCAGCAGCAGCAGGAACGGAACCAGAGCTACCCGCTGCAGAAGCAGCAGCAGCGGCAGCAGCAGAGGAGAGGGCTTTCTGCAGGGCCCCTTCAAGTTCGGAGAGAGTACGAAGAGAAGCTAGCAGCAAAAAGATGCGCTCCGTAGACAATCGCAGGCACTGCTGCTTTGCTGCACTAAGCCAACGACTTGTCGTAAACAGGGCCTCCGGCAAAGCCTCCAATGCTACCGGTGTTGCTGTTGCTGCTGCTGATGCTGCTGCTGATGCCGGTGTTGGTGTTGCTGCTGACTCACGTGCTGCTGCCGAGAGGCCGACAGGCGATTCCTCAGCTGCTGCTTGTTGAAGCAGCAACTGCTGCTGCACCTCCTTCCGCACGTATCTTGTCGCTACCCGGGTGAGCAGGCGGGGAAGCTGGAGTTCTGCTGTTGCTGCTGCCGCTGCTGCCTCTGAAGGTAATGGCGCTGCTGTTGGATTTGCTGCTGCTGTTCCTGAGTCGGCTGCAGCAGTATCTGCTGCTGCAGTGGATTCTTCCGCTTGAAAGGCAGCCCTGGTGATGCGAGGGGAGAAGTATGTAGCACCGCCCCACACCTTGTGCAGCAGCAGAGCGGCTTGCTGCTGGGCCCGGTGTTTAATTGTTTCTTCTTCGTGTGCTACTGCTTCTGCACGGCCTTGCTGTGCTTTGAGTTGTTCAAGAAGAGGCTTTCTGCCTCTTGTAGGGGGACAAAGAGCAGCCAACAGGTGGGGGTGTACAGACAGAAAACGCAGCTGCCGACAGACGCGCCGCAGAGAAGGCAGCAACAGCGGAGACACCCGGCAGTCTCGTTGCTTCAAGCGAGGAACCTGCTGCTGCTGCTGCTCCTGCTTTTTATCTCCGTCACTTTCACTGCTCCTGAAGCTGGGGGTGACAGGCCCTAGAGGCGCAGCGGTGCCGCTCACTCCGCTGCAGGCGCTGCTCTCGACATTGCAAGTGCTGCTGCTGCTGCTACTGCTGCTGTTGTAGAGGCGAACACAGCGGCGGCCGGGTGCAAGCCCTTTCTCCTCGTGGAGGGGGTTTCGACCACTGCCAGGCTCTCTGGCGCTGCCGCTGCTGATGCTGCTCTTGAAGCTGCTGTTCCTGTTGCTGCATCCAGAGACTCGCTTTGTAGAGAAGGGATGAGCTACGACCTTTGGAAATGCAACAATACCTGCTGCTGTGGTTGTCGTTGCTCCTTCTGCTGCTGCTGCTGCTGTTGCTGTTGCTGCTGCATGGCTAAGAAACGGAGTCGTGGCGGTGAAGGTGGCAGATAGAGCAGAGCCCCTTCGGAGGGCCCCTTGCCTGAAGAGCAGCATGCTGTTAGATTTCGTAGGTACACCTTTTCGTTAAGTGTGCATGGCAACCCGTCCTCTGCTGCATCAACACAGCACTTTCCCTGAGAAATCTTGCCCTAGAGCCGTCTGCATGAACTCCTCTGTCATGAGAATATTCTGGTGAATAACCAACTGAAGATTTCCCTCTGATACCCTCTCTGTTCTGCAAAAGGCGCTGCGTTGAGGAGGGAGAGCGGCGACGGAGGCGCCGCATGATCATCGGCCATGCGGTTCGTCGTGTAAGGAAACTATTCGGAAAACAGTGGAAATTGGTGTTATTAAATAAATAACTTCTAAAATCAAGGGTGAAGGTAGACGTTTGCATGCGTTTTTGCGGTTTCCGTTTCTTTCGCGTTGCCAGAGCCTATGTGCGACGTCACACACGGTGGAAGCCGTCTTGGCGGTTTTATGGACCATTCCCTAGGATGCATCTCTGCAAAAACTACGGGCCTTAACAATAACTGACTCCTTGAAGGAAATAAAACACCATTTCAACTCCAACTCATCCTGCAGGGCAATTCGCGCGGCGGTCTTTGTGAGGAGCTGCACGTACACCCAACGGGCATCAAGTCACTGCAAGCGGACAAGTTTCTGCAGGCACCTCCTGGGTTACCGCTCTGTCCTTATTTCTTTGTGCTCATTTAAAAGCAAGGTTCAAGCGGACAAGTTTCTGCAGGCACCTCCTGGGTTACCGCTCTGTCCTTATTTCTTTGTGCTCATTTAAAAGCAAGGTTTTTGATAATTTTCGTGGAGAGATCACTAGAGCTGACCCCCTCTCCAATAGAACAACTCCAACTCCGCTACACGGCGCCGCTCAGGCGGATCGGGACGTTTGCGCAAGAAATTTTTTTGGTGGAGCATCTACTCCTTAGTATTTCACATATAAAGTTTTGTATAAATGTAATTGTATTTCTGAAACCACTGTGCGTAAGAGGTGCTGTTTCATTATCTTTCTGCAACTAAGGTGAGCCATCTACTTCGATGTCGGCTGCGGATTGCTACAAACAGGGGATCCTCCGAAATCTACTCGGCCTGGTGATGTCCTGGAAGCTTATAGTGATACTGTTGCTTTTCTGGGGACTATGCACTTGCAGGGTCTCGGTTTCAGCGAGCCCCTTCTTTTCGTATGGTGCTGGTTGTGTGGGGAAAATATCAGTAGTTCCCTGAAACGCCGTAGAAAAAATCCACATTAATGATGTCGTCATATTCCCAGTTTCTTGGTGAAACCGAAGGGGCTAACTGAGAATGGACTGCTAAGGGCCCTACTCAACGCACGCCATATTTGTTCGGATAGTCGCCCTCCTGCGCACGTCGCATCGCACGCGAGTCCAATGAAACACAGCCGCCAGGGTGGGAGATGGCTACTGAGCCATGTCTTTCGTAGGTTCTCACCTGGCGCTCTTGTGTTTTCATAGTGTATTCCTACGGTGGTGCACGCCGTGTGAAACTCAGTAACTGCGACCACTCGAGGCTGGTGCCCAGCAGGCAGGCCCAACCTTGGGTCAGACAAAGTTATTTGGGTGTAGGCATTGCAGGTAAGAGAGCAATAGATAGAAAAGCGCGCTGCTATTTGATAATTGCGTTTCCCACAAGTGAAGAAATCAAGCCACGTATATGAGTTTTGTTGGGTATAGAGTAACTGCACAAGCTTGCGGTGAGTCCATTCAGTTTGAACGTGTGCCTCCGGGTAGTTCTGGCTGTCGAACTACGGCCGATCTTAAGACTCTTGATGGGTTTGTTCCAGAAGGCGCTGTCGGGCCTCACGTCCCTGTCAGTAATGATGTTCTTGGGGAGACGTCGGAGCTAGCAAAGGTGACCAATGAAAAATTGGCCGCACCCTCTGCTGTCACTATACTCGAACAAGCGAATGAAGTGGGCACAATTGCTGAGTCTACCCACAACAACCGTGATGACATTATGGCTCCTAGCAGCCAGTAAACCCATTATGAAATCCGTTTCCAGGTCTCCGTCCATACCACCCATTTGGGGATCGGAAGGCTTTGCGAGAGTAGTAGCCTGAGAGTGGTCCTCCGCCTTAACGGCAAAGAGTCCGGATAAGGAAGCATAATTTTTCACCAGATAATCTGGCCACCCGCTTTACTGTTATGTTGATCCTATCTTGACACGCTAAAGCATTGCCGTGCATTTTGCATTTAAAAGTTTGTACAACACGTGAGGCCTTGGGGGAGGCGATGGAGGCATTCAGCAGATCGCCTCCCCTAAGGAGAGCCACTCCTAATGAGTCTCCATCATTCGACTGTGAGAAAGTGGTTAAAACACTTGAAAAATATCCAAAAACTTCCTCCTCGTCTTCCTGGCTAGGCGCCTTCATCACTGTGCAAGTGGAGCTCGCACCTTACATTTGCCCCTCTTGAGCATGCGGTACTACAAAGAGCAACGGACGTAGTGTTTCCAGAACACATGGGGGATGGGGAAGATTCACCTGCTTTCTGGGAACTCCATGCAATTTTGACTATTGAAACGCACGATAGACCTTGGATATGTTTTAGGGCCGTCCGTAGAAAAATCAAGCATGGGTATGCTTCCATGGGAAGTTATCATATATTAGAAGTTGCAACAAGTTATGCTACAACTGCCTCGGCTTTAACTATGTACATCCGCAAACTGGGATCGAAGTAAAAATGCTTATTATTCCGGGAATTCCCCCAAGGCAGATGATCGTCCCCTCCAGTCTCCAGAAAATGCCTTGGGCTGCTACGGACGAGGCGGCCTATAAAGATTTGTAGCACAACTTGTTGTAACTCTTGGTGAATGATAGCTCCCCACACTCCATATCTGTAAGGATGGTCCTGAGCCTTCTCCGAGGACTGTCGTGAGCTGCAAGAGCCAAAATAGTTGATGAAGTTCCCAGAAAGAAACTGAGCACTTCCCCACCCT